AAAAAAATTAAAAGAAAATGTCAAATGGAATTATTTAATTATCACGTCATGTATAACTAACGGAAGAATCAAAATTATGTAATTTTTAGAATTAAAAAATCAAAAGAGTGAAAAGAATAATCTAAAGATCAAAAAAATGCAAACTTATAAAGTTGAGGGATCAAATTTAGCATTTAACATTTTCTTTTTCTTTTTCCCACACGTGGAGGGTATCATTAAGTCCACATAAGCATCTTTTACATGTTGGCATATCCACATCAGCTGTTCCCGTTAAATTAACATGCAACGTGAGCAAAAATTAACGGAAGGACCAAAAATGGGTTGGATTTGTGAATAGTAAGGACAAAAAATGGGATTTTTTCGGTACAGGGACCAAAAATGAGCTTTTTCCTATAATAGAGGGACAAAAAGGGTATTTAACTTAAAATAAATAACTCATTAAAAAAAGACCTCAAAATATTATCTATTTTGGTGCACCTAAAGTATCCGAGTAAATATTTATAATAATGCTAAAAACATGATAATTCTTTAAAACTTGAAAAATAACAACATAAACAAGTTGCAAAGAATTTACCTAGAATGGATTAAATGCATGTGAGCCTCTTCGTGATTCTCTTTGATCTCTGCCCTCTGCTCCATTTTGCCCCCGTGAGGTAAATTTAAGAGACGGTCTTCTCCTAGATCTTCTTGAGTTTTTGCGGCCACCATTGACCCCATGCCAACCATATAATATCACCTTTCTTTCCATCTAAAATTTTCTTGTAGTAATAGGCCAGGACATTACTGGACAAGTTTAATTTCCTTCTCTTCCCTGACCTCTTCTTGCTTGTCCTTGTGCCAAAATTTCCACAACAACGTGGACTTGGTTCAATATTCTCTAAACCCAAATACTTTATGTTTTGAGGTAGTACTAGTATTTTCGAATAAGAGATAATTTTAAACAGAAACAAAACCAGTTAAAATTTTCCTATTATGTATTGATATATATATATATCACTCGCATTTTAGATGGTAATACTTATGGTTTTGATTGATAGCCATAACTAAAAAGTAGCGGATGAGTGAATTAAGGTATTACGCATCTAGTGGGATGAGAAAATTCATATAGACAGTTCCCATCATCTGGATTAAAAATCAAAAACTCTTTTCTTCTCTTTTAAAGAAAATGTAGATTTCATAAAGAGGAAAAAAAAAAAACCCTCAGTATAAAAAAATTTCCAACTCTGGTCTGGTGGGAGGGGTTAGATATACCAACAGATCCTAAGAAAATCACTTGTTATTCAAACAACAATGGCATGTGCAAGGATAAAATACTACCTGAATCCCCATGTGGTGGTGCATGCAGCCAACCATGGCTATCTTCTATTCTTGGTGCTTTCAGGCGTCTTTTGGGATTACTGGCAGCAGAAGGACATGAAAGAATCTTGCATAAGGACTTGTTTAATTGAGATATCCTGCTACTTGTATGGTTTCTTCGTTGAAACTTCCGATGATCTTGCCTGATTGCTCTAAACCACCTTTTCTGGCCATGCAATGGAGGGAAACTGACTGAATCTGTTCTTTTCGAGGGACCATTCCAGTTTTCAACACACAAGGAAGGAGTTGAATGCATTGTCAATATACCTTGTTTAAAAGACAGAATTGATTGTTGCAATCTAGATGGAACCTGCTAAGAAAAGATGCACAAAATTAAATTTCTCTAACTCAAGGATACAACCATTACCAAAAAAAGAAAGAAAAAAAAAATTGAAGAAAGACAGATTAAGAAGAGCTCACAGCTGAAAGACAGCTAGAGGAAGCAAATGACAGTGAAGATGATGAAAATGGTGATTCCCCAGGCTGCTTTCCCTTCTGATCATTATTTGTTGAGTCCTGATCTCCAACAGATCCAAAATGGATGGTATAACATCATCTTCTTCCTTGTTCTCTTCATACTCATCTTCATCTTCACCAACCTCCTCTTGACTCCCTGCTTTTTCCTCTTGCTTGGCCACCACAGAAGTATCTTCATCTTGCTGCAGACCCACTTCCCCTTTCTTGTCCTCTTTCTCTCTCATCTTCAACTCCTCATCCAAGTCCTCAAGAGCCTCTTCCAAACACAATTCAGCCTTGATATGTTCAAGTTCTTTCTCAATAAGCTGCAACTTCATCTCACTAGCTTTCTTCTTTTCTTCACTCCAGTTCTCTAGTTTATCAAGCACTGGCTTCAGTGCATTTTCCACTGCTAATACAACACTTTTCCACATACTCTCCTTTTTCTCAACCTCTTTCAGTCCATAAAACTCATCAAAACCAGAGATGCAGAAACTGAGCCTTCTCTGTGTCAACATCTTCACCTTCCTTCAAAGGTGGCAGCCAAAATAATTGGATACCATGTTCTTCGTCATCTATATAATTGATTAACCTTTCAGTTGGAGGGTGCAGTACAAGGGGATCTTCAGTATAAACCAGCTTTGTTGGATCTTCAGGATCAGGCTCTGGCTCCTTGTTAACAAGGACAAATTCGGGAGTCTCATCTGACATAAAATTGTACAGATGCTGAACAAAACAAATGGAACCGCTATACAGATACAGAACTAGATGAACCCAGCATAAAAGCCATAAGAGAAAAAAGGGGGAGTGACTATGTTTTTCCTTCTGTTTTTATTATAAATCAAATTTATGTTGTCTGTTTCATCTTCCACCTTTGAACTTTCTCACGTCCGAGTGATTAAGAGCGACATCAGGATTGGTGGGTGAATAATTCTTTGTAACTCATCCTTTAGTGGATGATTAATCTTTGTAACTTTTACCACCCACTTAGCCTACATATAACTTGCATTCTTGAAAATGGGATGGTAAAGGAAAGAGTATAAATATCACATTTCCTTGCACTACCCCTATATGCCTCTCTAATTCATTCTTCTTTCTTCTTTCTTATTTTACTAGAGTTTTGCATTTTTATTATTTTTTAAAGTTTGTTGAGGGTTTGGGGGCTGTTAGATAAGAGTAGACATGATAAGTTTTTATTTTTATTTTTTTAATTGCAGTAGACATGTTAAATAGAATAAATAGAATAATCAAGATCTCCCAGAGCATTATTTTATTTAGCTTAAATGTTAGGCCTCTTGGCTTCTTAAAATTAATTATTACTATGCTCAAGCACTTTCATTTCTGTTATGACATTTAAAAGACACACAGACAAGAGGGAAGAAACAAGGAGGGGTGAAGAGAATACCTTTCAACCACCAATACTCAAGTTCAGCAGGCATAGGCAACCTCAGTGGGGCTTTATAGAATGAGTTTAACCACATCTCTCTTTCTTGATTAACGTCATGCACATATGTCTTCCAATAATCAGGCACCTGCCAGATACACAGTTACTTCCATTTCATGTTATTTGATATTAGGGAGAGCGCTAGGCCAGATGGGATTTTACTTACTTCATAGAACTGGTTGATAAAGCCAGGTGCCATCCACACATCTTCCTCCTCATAGAAATAAGGGTGTTGTGGATCACTGTAAGGGCCCCTCTCTTCTCTAACCACTGTGCAGCCAAACGAATAAAATTAAAAGAACCAGCAATTATATGTTTAAATATTAAATCTCACAAAGTCACAAGGCAAATAGAAATTCAAAATGCTATGAAAAATAACATCAATCAAGTTCTTGTGAAAATGCCAAGTCTTCAAGGAACAGCTCCACACAGGTGAGGTCCCAGTTCAAAAAAAAAATTAAAAAGAAAAAAAAAAAGAGGGTTAAATCTTTAACCGAGATATTTATGTCTTTGAGATTTCTACTGGAGTTTTTTTTACCAACAATGATGTAAAAGAAACTGCTAAGCCAAAAAGTGATGTCTAAAAACTATCTATCTCTAAACGTAGGTTTCTTCAGCATGAAAATACAACATAAAATAATTTAAAGATTTTAACAAGAAGTTACAAAATGATACAGGGAAGCACCACCTTTCTTTTTCTCAGCACAGCTTGGGACTTAATTTGTTGTTCTTTTTACACAAAAAGAAATCGTTACTAGAGTTGAGAGTACATACTTCCATCTGGTTTGTTAACAAACATCTGAGCCTCAGTGGCAGCTACTTCTGCCATAGCAGCATGCATCTGAAAAGGTCAGTGTTAAGTAAATATCAGATTGCAATATTCTTTTACTCTGTATATTCATGAAAGAAAGGAAAATACCACTGAAATGTTCTCATCACAGCCATCAAAATTGTCCATTAGCTCCCAAAAGTAAAATCTACCCTGCAGTATATCAATATGCAACAACAGATAAGCTCAGTAGTAAACAGTTTTAGGTTTTGCTGACAGAAGATGATGCACGAGGGAGATGTTTTTCCTTTTCTTTTCTCTTCTTCTTCTTCTTTTATTATTTATTTTGAAATAAAACAGATAATATATGCATAGCCAGTATTGGCTCTCAAAGGATCAAAATAGGGCAGTCTCACTATTATAAAATTAGACAACAAAGAAAGAGTTCTATTTTTGGCCCCAAAAAAAAAAAAAAAAAAAAAAAGATAGAATTCTATTACATAAGTTGATCTTTGAACTCAGTTATGTTCAATACACCTGCACATATGGTGCGTTGATCGACTTCATAGACACCACAGCCATGCATCCTGCCATGCTTCCACTGGCGAGCATAGTGATATGGACCCTCCTCCCTGAAGTAGAACCACTGAAGACAATAAGACCAGAGAACTATAGATGATTTGAACATCAATGATGAAAAATAAGTTCATCTACACAGATGAAAGCAACAACAATCATGATGAAATGACATCAATAAAAGCAATGGCCAAAAAAAATGATGGCTAGGCTATTAAACTTACAGTTTCCTCCCAAATTATCTGATCCACTCATCATTCTCATAAAAAGGAATTTCTTTCTGCTTTCCAGCCAGGCTAAGGCTATCTTCAATATCCATCTCTAGCCATTCCCCGTCTTCTGGGGACATAAAATCTCTTTGTATTATTTTCGCTTCAGCACGCATTTTTGCTTCAAGCCTAGGACAATAAGGAGCATATCATGTAGAAATTTATAGTTCAGTTTCTATAGCTGCTTTGTCACATGATGAAAAAACATAAACAGAAAGGAATTGTAGACCTACTTGGAGCCTGGGACAGGTTCTATATCACGTATGTCAACTTTGACGACCCCATGGCCTTCCATGTTGTTTTGAAGCCATTCACCTTCATACCTATAATAAATCACAGGGTCTATATCAGGTAAAATACAAATTTTGTAGGAACAGGTTTTCCCCATTATCAGTCACTAAGTGTCAAAAAATGAGGAATACAGCATCTTGCAAATTCAAACACCCAAAAAAGAAGGAAAAGAAAACAGATTAGACAGCTCTACTTATATAATCATGATGTTTAAGTGACCCTGAAAGCGGGATGGTACCAGACAGGCACCAATAAGAGATATATAGTAGACAAAACATAGAATTGACAAACCTGACCAGTCCCTGTTCAGCAACATAAACACCTTTCCCATGAGCCAAGTCATCCCAAACAGTGCCTTCATACCTTAAACAAAAAAGCATAATTTAAGATAATGAGTGATGCATATAAAACACGTCCCTTCCCACTGAAGGAAGATTTGAAGTAACAATAATCAACACATAGAACTCCCATCCAATAAGCCACGTGTTAGATAATTTTTCCTTGCCTGGTAGCATATATGTGAGTGTTATACATAAAAATTCACAGCAGAACTTCACTGAGAGAAAGTGGAGGGAAATACTGAAGAACAACAAAAAAGAAATTCCAAAATTTTCTTGTGATTCAACTCAAATGAAGCACTGGATTAGGAAATGAAGATAAGACATTAGCACAGAACCAATCAACCACACATGTCAGCTAAGCTGAAGGGTATGCATATATTTCAATCAATGCTACAATAGACTTTGACCAAAACGGAGATGAAACCCATGAAAACCATAGCAGGCATCAGAAATCAACCAACTTTCGAGAAAACATGACAAACAAGCACCACTGTCTAAACCGAAATTAATAAATAAGAGCGGATATAGATACATATGTGTTGCCATCAGGGAAAATGTAGCTGACCCAAGTAACTAACTCCTCAATTCTATCAAATTCCTTGATGACCCCTTTGGTCCCTTTATATCATAGTCATCTTTGGGAACAGGGGGGTAAGTCTTCGTGTAAGGCACGTAAAAGGGTGCAATGGGAGGGTCCCTTTCTGCCTGAATTTCTTCATTGACGACGGCCCAGTCCTCCTCGTCTGCCCAGACAGTGTCCCACCCGAGCTTAGTCATAAACAGCGGAGCATCCGCCCAAAGCTCCTTCACATCCTCCTCCCGCCAACGCTCTAGATCGTCGGCGACATCCCACTTGACCTCTTCAGGTGCGTATCTGAGAAGTCGCCTTCGCTCCTCCTCTTCTTGGAGTACCTTATACCTTTTGCTCCCGAGGATTTTTGTTAAAATCTCCTGATGTAAGTTTCAGGGGTGGCTTTGGACTCCCAAGGATCGTCTCCGGGGAGCTCCGGGTCGATTTCTTCTTCAATGTCGTCGTCAGTGGAGGATGAATCCGCACCCACCTCAGATTCGGAGTCAGACTCCTCTTCCTCTTCCTCTTCAGCATTTTGGTCTTGGAGCTGCTCCTTCTGCTGCTGCTGCTGGGCTTCATTGGCCGTTTCGGAGACGATGAGGTGGGAACGACGTTTACAAGGGAAATGTAATCAAACCAGGGCAGTGCGTAGGCGTAGCAGTGGCGAATTTTGGGCGGTTTTGCCATTTTGTATACAGTCTTTTTTTTTTTTAAGCATGTAATAGCACACATAAAGAAATCTGTTTGTAGTATAAACAGTTTTTTTTTTTTAATAATTTAGGTATTAAAATAATCAAAAATATTTTTATTAAATTTTTTATATTTATTTATTAAAAATATTTTAATAATTTTAATATTTAGATTACAAAAAAAAAAAAAAAAAATTATTCATATTAGAAAACACCAATCTCTAAATTACTACATAAAAAAAGTGTTATGATCCACTAAAGAACCATAACTGCTGATGTCCCTAAATGTGAGACTTTATTCTCCTCGAAGTAATGATTTAATTTGCTGCAGTATAACTTAGGACAAATGGTAAAAGAACATTCTTATTTAATATATATGCATTTATTTAATATTTAATATACATTAATATTATAAGTTTTTTCAATGGGATATTATCAATTTTTATAGTGAGATATTGTAGTTTAAGTGTATTGACTCTATTTTAATAATTTTTTTTTTTGGTAACCATGAACATGGAAATAGAACTGTTATGAAATTTAAGTTGCAAATAGAAGCATTTTAACAAATTAGAGCTTTTTTTTTTTAATGCTCAGTTACTTAGATTTAGCATCATTACAGAGGTTTGATACTGAACCTTCATTCTAAATTAAAATTTTATAGTTTAGTGTTACAAACTCAGTTAATTTTTTTTTTAGGTAAGAAATGATTATTCAATTGCTAAAAATAAAATATAATTATCTTTCAATTAAAATTATGAGAATAGTATTTATCTGCTTTATCTCTTAAAAATTAAGAAGAATATTATTCTAAAATTACGTCATTTTAATAAATACCTATGAAAAAAGACTAAAATATTTTATTTTTAAAACATGAATTAGGATTTTTTATTATCATTTTTCCTTCTAATTTTTAGAGGTAAAGCATATAAACATTAACCCTAAAATGATTTTCTAATTATTTAGAGGTATGGGCCGTGTGGCAAAGAGGGATTTACGGGCTGCTAGTGGAAAACTAAAATTAGTGGGCTTATGAAATAGATTCAGGCCGGATTATTAGTCCACTATTGAAACACCCACAAACTTTGGGCTACGAACATGGGTCAGGGGATCTTTTATCATGCCCGCATGCAGCATGGATGTTAGGTTTTACGATTACATTTCAAAAAAATGAAAATAGCTTCTTCTTCATTTTTTCCGAAAAGAAAAATATTTGCTAAAATTTTTATTTAGTTCACTTGAAGGAAGACATAGCTGCCTAACTTAGAAAATTCCACTTTAGAATTATGATATAAATATATGATACATGAGTCAATAAAATTTTGACACTCAAATACAATAATAATTTAGTAAATTTAGTTTTGCATGATTTCATATGTAATCTTATTTTTTTATGACGCATTAATTATTATTGGTTTGTTATACAATTATAGTTTCATGACCTCCTAGAAGGTGAAGCATTATGAAGATAGCAATTTTGGAAGTGATTGAATTAAACAAGCCAACTGTCTTTGAAGGGGAAGCATTATTGTAGGGAAGTTACGTGCATCATTAGGCAATGGATAATGATAGGAGAGACGATTTTATGAGACAAAAACGGATGACGATAGGTGTGACAAGGTCAAATTAGTTATTTTGTATCTTGCACTTTGACCTTATCACATCTATCATCCTCCGTTTTCGTCCTATAAAATCGTCCTCTCTATCGTTATCCTTAGGTAATGGATTGATCCTTCGACAAATCCCAACTTTATGGATTAGATAAATTCGACTTCATTTGACAATGTTTCTTGATGTTTTTTTTTTTTTAATTTTTTTTA